TAGCAGTAGATGTCGTTGCATGAATCCTTCGACCAGGAGGCTAGTTCATCTCTTGGTGTGAGATGCCTTTGTATGCACGGAGCAGGTGATCTCGATTAATAGCTTGCTCATGCCCTGTTGCCGTTTTTGCGAGCAGCCATGCCAGTGGCAAACAGACAAACGCAATTGAGCCTGAAAAATTTGGGTTACTGCAACTTGTCTTCATCCTGAAGTTCCAAGAAAAGATCATGCCATATACTTTCCAGAGATGGGCGCTTTCACCATTTTTTGCATTGCTTTAGCTGGGAAAATTTCCGAAGGGTTTCGGGGGTAGGGGTTTAGGGTTTAGAATTTATGTTACGCTGAGCTTGTTTTCTAAAATAGCCTTTTTCTATTTTTGTTCCCGAGAACAAAAAATTAGATTTTTTTTCTTTTGATTATATTTTAAATATATTCCCTGGCCACTGATCTATTCCGGGGAATAGAAAAAATTAACTGATGTAGACAAACGAATTTCAGTTTTTTTCTTTTTCTGTTCCAAAGAACGAAAGAATAAAAAACAGAAAAATAGAAATGTTATCAAACCAAACCTTAAGATAAAAGACTCTGCGCTCCATTGGTACCTTGGCTAAGCTATTCCTATATGCATAGAATCCTAAAACGGTCATCTTCTCTTCTCGGCTAGTGAGCTCGTAGTATATCTCGAATCTGTTCATTTTGTTTGTTGCTTTGAACCAAGCGACAAATACACATGCATGTGAGGGAGAATTATCAAAAAAGTCATAAACCTAATATAATTGTGCCAATTTAATCGTCAACCTTTTTTTAGCCAATTGAGTCATAAATATTTTGCATTTGTGCCAATTCAGTCCATCCGGCCATGGCTTTACCCTCGCTGACCCTTACCTCGTATTGGCCTCCGAGGTCCGATGATCAGGAAAGGAAAAAAAAAAGAAAGAAAAGAAAAAAAAGGAAAAAAAGAATAAATAAAAAATTTGAAAAAAATACTGAATATTATTTAAAATTACCCATGTCAGCCGGCTGTCCCATGTAGGACGACTGACGTCCATGTCGGTGATTTTCCAGTCAAAATTAGCTAGATGAAGACAAAAAGTTTATGACTCAATTGGTAAAAAAATGGTTTATGACTGAATTGACACAATTGCAATAGGTTTATGATTTTTTTGGTAATTTTCCCTAATGTGAGTGTTCATGTAATGGCAAATGCATATATAAGCTAATCGTGTCTTTCTTTCTTTCTAGATCAAATATATGGACTAGATCATTGATGGTGATTTGTGATATGTACAATTTTGTATCCCATTGAGAAATGAGATACTCTAAAGGGTAATGATATTTCCACAATCAAACTGTCTTGTTCACAACTTTTTCAAAGTCAATATTATAATTGATGTAATTTATCCTTAAACATGTCGATGCCTGCATGTTCTGTCCCTCTAATCTCCCTTGTATCTTTGTCTTCCTCAGGAAGAAGGACTACCCTCTGTGTGTTTTACATTTAAGGAATACCGAAATCCGTATGAAGTCTCAGATGAAGCAGTTTTTCCTCTTGCTTAGGAGATGCAGGATAATGATATTTCCACGATCAAAATATCTTGTTCACAACTTTTTCAAAGTCAATATTATGGTTGGTGTTATTTACCCTTAAAGCTCCACAATCTCCAATGAAGATTCTTTGATAGTATGACAGAAATAACATATAATAATTAGACAACAATCAATAAAGTCCAAGTGTTTTTTTTTCTACTTATTATAAATTATTGGTTATTAATTATATTATATTATAGTTTTAAGAAACATGTCTATCTATATCAATATCATAGGTGATTTTTATTTTAATTTTTTTCAATCGAAAGCTTATTTTTGTAGTTACATTTCATATCTATAATAAACTTTTCAAAATAAACTATAAACTCCCAACTAATATATATGTTTCAATAAAATTTTAATAAACTTATTCATTAAAATAAAGTGAATATATTTATTGAGTTCAATTTATTCACTTACTGAAATAACATATGATAATTTTATGCAATTATATGTTTTAGATTTTTTTTCATTTCTTCGTTTTAAATTAGTAAGATATCCCATTTTAATAATTTTATTTTTATTTTGACAAGATTTTTTATTTGGAATGTAATTGTTAAGTGCAACCTATTCACATAATCAAATAAAGTGCATTAAAACTACAAATGATTTATCTTATGAGAAGATTAGTTTTTATGTTGTTTGAATTTTCGTTCAATTTACTAAATTACATTTTTTTATTTGTTCAAAAATTAATTTTATTATAGTATTTTAAATAAAGTGAAATTTAATTATATTACGTGAAACTTACTCATGTCATGAAGTAAGGTGTATTAGTAAACAAATGAATAAGGTATAATTGAAACTACAAAATGAGACCTCTCATTGTAATTTCAATATAACTCCTTAATTTTATTATGATAAACTATTTTTCTCATTCCCAATAGACAAATATGGCCTTAGTTCCTTAGAAAAGCTCGTTGTCATTACTAATTTGTACATATGTTTTTGGCATTACTTAATTTAAGTGTCCGAGTCAGCTTTTGCGCACTTCAACAAGTCCATCTCCCCCAACATCGATCTGGTACTTTCAAGTTTTTACTCCTAAAATGCTGCCAATAAGACTTGAACCCTAGACCAAAAGGGAATGAGCCAAGTCTTTACAATCTTAATCAACACCTTGTTGGTTATACCGTGCTTTAAGAATAAGAGTAAGCATGTCTTAGTGTGTATTATGGGGCGTAGATTGGTATCAAAGCTTTATTTATATATTCTGTTATATGTCAAATACTGGGATAAGAACGTCATAAGTGAGTGTCATAACTTTGTAATTGATCACGTGAGTGCCTTGATTTTTTAAAGAAGACTCACTTGAATGATATAATTTTTCAATTAGATCACTTAAGTGGTATAATTCTTAAAAAGTGTTCACTGCAGGTGTCATGTCACGAATTACCAACACTTGTAGTGAATGCTTTTTGAAAGTACACCCAAGACCACATGACTAAATAAATTCTAGAAAGTTTGGACTTACAATAATACAAAACACCTTGGACAGGGTAATACGATGGCATGTACACGGCTTACAAAATTAAGTTCTAATAAATCAGTGAAAGAGCCAAAAATATAACAGAGGGGGTGAAATTTTTTATGTACTTGACTTTCAAGTTTGGCTTAATATTAGTTGTTATTACGTAGGAAAGAACATCGGATGATAAATCAATACACAAAAGTGTAACAACAGGTAGTTTTGTGTTTTTGACTGACATTAAAATACGAAAGAGCATTATTGGAATAATTTTAGTTAACGAGTTCTTTTAAGTTTATTTCATGAATTTTCATCGTGTTCAAAGACATTAAAAATTCGTTACTACAACATTAGTAATTCACTTAAAATATGAAAAATTAATTCCATCAAATTTCGGAAGTTCTTATTTGCATAAACCATAAGTAAATCATATTGATAAAAAAACACGTTTATCTCTTTGCTTTCTGGCAAAATCACTTTTTATATTCTGGCCGAACATTTATAAGTCATATGACTACTATTTTCATTTCTTTCCATCACTTATTCTCGAGTGATTTTACAGTATGAAAAGTACATTCATGGATGCACTCAGAATTTTGCGAATCTAGCCTATTGACCATGAATGTCCACCTAAGAAAATAATAGCGTAAATTCAAGTTTACTTTTTTCAGTAATTTCGAATTCTACACTTAAATATATGAATGCTTTTGCGTGTTAGCTCAGATTGCTATAGTATGCTTCGGATTATTACATGCTAATTCCCGCACATATGTAGTTAATAATATCGACTTCCTTTATAATGTCTGGGAGCCAAGAGAAATCTGCGATAATGCGCAAGGATTCGAAAAATAATTTCTCGTAGCTAGGGTTCACAAAACTCACAAAAGAGGATCGTATGCCAAATATCTGGATTGAAATGTTATTATTCCTGCATAAATGTGATCATATGCCTTATTTTGCCTGTGTTTGTCAGTCTCTAACAAAATATAATCAATTAAAGAAACCCAATCTTATTATATCGAAACTAACTTTAATAACATGAACTGTAGACATGAATGTAAACTACCTGCCATTACGATAATATTAATCCATAGGTAGACAGGACTTTATACTTCGTGAGACCGACTCATCTTCTCGTAACCATGCTTCACTTGGCTACACTTTTACGGGTATGGTTGATTTGGTTTTAGTTGGTTTTAAGTGTTTCGGGTGAGTGCGAAAATTTAGGATTTGGAGATGGGCATTTTCGAAAAAAAAAATCACATTTTTATAACTAAGGATACAAGGATGATTGCTATGTAAGTAAAAAGTAGTCTTCAAAGTGTATTTGATTTTTTTCATGAATAGAGGTACGTAAGTAGTCAATGGGTGAAATGCGAGGTATTCTTTTCGATATTTTCCTAATAAAAAAGTGTAGCTACCGATCAGACGTGACGCACTTCATAAAATGAAAATGGATTTAAATAGATTTTATTAGTAGATATAACCAAACATTGCTTTTACTTAAGAAACGTTTAAAAAAGAAAGACACAAATTAAATAATTTCATTGTTTGTAGGGAATGGATTCTTCTATCTATTTCACGTGTTAGCATAGGTGGAAGTTGAGGCAATTTTAGTTCAAATTTCTTACAAGAACATCACACCTTCTTACTTCCTATTTATACAAATTTCCCAACTTAAAAATCACTTTTTTGTATTGTTATTGTCCCAACGTGCTACCTCGCCATGTTCCAAACACTGCTATGAAAACTGCTAAGAATGGTGGCGTTTGACCCCTGCGAAAGATGGGGCTATTCTGTATTTTCTTCGATCGTATCTGAGTTGTCAAATACGCGAGCCTGAGACCCACCTGATCTAATAGCACTCCAAGATGAGATTAGGAGTAACTCGCTACCATCAGCCTCAATAGCTTCATAACTGGCTTGAGAATCAACTACCAGTGGATCAGTAAGAGGGTAAGTCCAAATAAATTTATATCGAATATAGTGAGTATGCAGACTGCTTTTTTTCGCTCTCTGTCGAGCTACACAAAAATATGCATCTAAACAATGGTGGGCATGTAAACTGCAAAGTGCCATACTCAAAGGTGGACCAAATAGGTATGATCTTCATTGATGCAGCTGCACTTACGCCGTAACACATGATTCTGATCAGGAAATTTGTCTAGATTGAAAGATCATCTTCATCAGAACCTGCACAAAGAGAATACAAGCTTGCTTACATAAGCTCGGAAAACGAGTTCACTGGAAGAAAAAATCACAGGGAGCATGGAGACTTCTGTTAGTTCGTATGTTAGTAGGGAATTTATAAAAAAGAAGAAGAATGCAGAACGAAGCGCTTTCTTGCCAAAATAATTCAAGAAAAACACAGCATATAAAAATAATTACCTCTAATAGTAACACTGCGAGACGATAAAAGTCAAATGAAAGTTACAAACTAGCTTCAGAAGCCAACCTTCCTTTTCATTCCATGTGACCATCCTAGCAGTAAACAAACTTTCTCAAACAAACTTTCAATAGTTCCCAAGTAAAGAAATGTTCCTACGACGGTTTCCTCTGTTGTGGGTCCAACATAGTCATGTTCGAATTACAAGAGTAGACTCTGAAAGTTTGATTTGCAGTTAGCAGGTCATCATAGCAAGTTGGGGCACAACAGAATCACTTCTTTATATATGTTAACCTCACAAAAATCTGTATGTAGGATCTTGGTTTGAATATCATATTATGTCATTGCCAACCAAATAACCAACTAATACTCCCTTTGAATTGGCTAGAATTGTACCTTCAGATGGATTTTTGTGAGCTAATGGATTCATTTGACATAGTTGGATATATATAAGTCTGCAACCTTTCGAAGAGCTATTTATTCAGTTTGTCGCCTCTCAGATTCCCTCAAGCCAACTTCCATTCAGTCAGTTTCGATGACGTATCAGCTAATGTGACTTCTTGGTTACTACAGCCTATCTAGTCTCCATCAAGTTGAGGAATATTTGTTCAGATAACACAGACTATTAGCCAAGCCAGCATTCTCTTGTGTGTCTGAACAATTCTCTGTTTGGTTGGCTAATCTCAGTATCTCCCTATGAGGTCTTCCATCTCATTTCAGTTGCCTATCCAGTAAAAAGTATTTCAGATATGAAACGGGGCTCTTTCAATCACCATAATCAACTATTGCAGTGTTTAGATACGGTTAGAACTGGAAAGAGCAATCACCTCTCGTGTCATATGAAAGTACCATGAACACTTGTATCCAAGTGCCCAGTTGATAAAATTGCCTCAATGATCAAATTTCAGTGGGTAAAAAAGGGGTGCTAGTATGTCACATCACCACGAAAGACTGATCTTGTAAATTGGGGCAAAGGATCAAGTGGCGTGAAGAAGATCAACTCACCAAGTTCATGAACCATTACCGTGCAGTCCAGGTTCAGAAAAAGCAACCAAACTCCTGCGGAAGTGTCCATCTCCATCCAAGTTCAGGTACCTGCAATTTTCACAACTTAGAAGAAAAGGACATTGTGAGCTAAAGAAAGCCCTGCAACTCTAGTGCAGCTCATAAGGACATAAACTTATGTAAGAGAATCGGCTGAACCAGAAACCTTGCAGAGAACCAAGACTCGAATCAAGAAAGAATGGAAGCTTTTACTAATCAATAAGTGTCTATACTTTTCATCTAGGAACATAGTAGCCATCAACTAACAATTACTAAAATCCATTTAGTCATCAATTGGCAACATAAAGTGCAACCTATGGATCCATTTTATTATGTATATCATCTTTATGCTGGCCAGCTCGACCCTCACGCTCGTCATAGGTTGATTCATCGGCCGGCCACTTATCAATGTCTGAACGCCCAGAAGCTTGCATTGATCCTAAATCCCATGTATCAGATAGCCCACCAGTAACTCCCACTTCCAGTGCATCATATTGAGCAAGATTACCCCATACCACACCGCTAGAACTAGACATACCAGCACTCACGTCAAAACCCATGCCCCATACCTCCTCTTGCTTAATCATGCTTTCGAACCCCGATGAGAAATCTGGAAACTTCTTCCTCTCTGCCAAATCCTCTGGGAAAGAGACAAAGTACTGAGGAGTGAACTCTTGCCCTGGGCTCTCAATGACACTCTTCCCCTTGAATTGAAGATCAGCTCCCAAGCTTGATGACCCCTCTCTGAGAAGATCCGGAGTTTTGAGATAGCCGTGTCCAGATGCTATATCACGCGGCGCCGATGTTTCTCTTGACATGACATCCTCAACTTGAAGCGGAATGTTCTCTTCACCTAAACCTGTGCCAGTTGAAACTTCAGGGAGATGTTTAGGGTTTTCGACAGGAATAGGATTCAAAGTAGGAAATCCGGAAGATGCATCAAGAGTCCCCGTATCATGTCTGTACTTGACTATCTGCCCTTCCGTGGAGGGAACTGCTTCAACATCCTCTGGCTGGTGATGCTTGAGAAACTTCCTCCTCACCCTCGAAGGACCGATTTCTCTCTGTTCCTTCTTTTCCCTCAAGTGCGCTACAAAGGAGGGGTTTTGAAGCAATTTTGCCATGAACGAAACCATTTGCTTTTGTCTTTGCTCAGCAGCTTGAAGTCTCTGATTTACTGCTTCTGCATGATGAGCTGTTCCACGGTGCTGCTGCTGCAGTTCAACTACCTCCTGCATCAACATACTCTTCTCCTTCCTTAACATCTCCACTTCAACTTCCAACCCAGGTTTCGCTGCTTCACTGGAAGGTCCAAAGTAGCTTCCAATCTGCTGTGTCTGGAGCGACTTGCGTCTTTGAATGTTCTTTAGAAGTTGCCTCTTCCCTCTCTGAAAAGCTTCATTAGCAAACTCCCATCTATCAGTGTCAATCTTGCGGAAACCCTGAACACATTATATGAAAATTCAAGAATGAATAGGGAATGGAATGTGTAAAAATAACCAAAGGACCAAAAGGAGGAATTATAGTCTGTAAGTCTAGCATGCATCATTCATGCACACAAGCCGAAATGAACAGCCTTCCTAAACAGGAGAAGCTGCACTACGGTACATAGAAAATTTTTTAGCTGCATAAGGAATAAAATGTAACACATCATGGGAACCTATACATTGACCGATTACCAACAATATACCAAAACCTGAGAATTTCTACCTGCAGGAGATGAATGAAATCCCAGTTTCAGAGAAAACTTGCAGGAGACATTCTTTCATCAGGAGTAGCAAGACAGAAAACCAACCTCAAAACTTAAGGATGAGCGAAGAAAGAAGCTTCTTGCATAGTTTCATGTCTAGAAGCACCTAAAACTAGCACCTAAAACTAGCAGCAAACCTAAGGGGGGAAGTCTGAAGGAAATACCATCAAACAAAACAGCATGTGGGAAGCATTACAAGAATTGCTAAAAATCGAAAAGATGCGGAATAAGTTAACATAATCTATAAGAAAAGAACTAGCATCCAGACGATTAAAGAATTAGAAACATATGTAAACAAATTACTCATTAATTTTAAAGTCATTTACAAGCTCTCATTAGAGATTACACCATCAAGAATGCCTCCATTATACAGTAGAACTACAACTACGTCAATACGCGCCGAACCTGATTTACAACAAAGTCGAGCAGGAAACAAAGGAAAAGGCACAGCGGTGCAGCAAAAGATGAACAAGAAATACATCAAAATACAAAAGCTAAAAAAGGCAGAGGCAAAAAAAGCATTTACAAAGAGAGAACGGCAGCCAAGAGAGGCCGTGTTCCAGCAAATACCCACATAAGTATTTAGCTGCCGAACAAAACTGGAAAAATTGTTGTGCTTGAAATTCCGTGGGAGTATAATCCTGGCAAATTCGACGGGGTCCCACACCACAAAGCTCTCGCCGCTCGACCCCCATGATATAATCGGATCCAACGATCGGTCATCGACCAAATCGAAGGTCTTCGAAAGAAACGGCGGGAGTGGAGTACCCTGCAGGCACTCCAGAGGCTGAGGAGCACCGACAGCAGTCTCCATGTCACCGCCTCTCACCGGAAATCCCGCCTCCTCTGTTTCTGCTGCACTAGTACTAAAAGGAGGCCCGACAGGGGTTGTTTCAAAAACAGGTTCCGGTTTTGACTCGAACAAGTCGAATGACGAGGACGGGTTCAGAGGAGAGAATGCCTCGAACTCCATGAGAGGCGAAAGAGAACCCGAGAAGCCGACGTTCTCCATATCGAAGAACGACCCAGAAGGCAATGCCTCCGAACCCATCACGGACGGCAGCGTTTCGGACTCCAACGCAGCCGACGACGATGACCCAGCACCAGCAGGAGCCTTGCCTTCACCTCCTCCTCGCCCAGAAGAACCAGGAGGAGGTTCCGGGCATCGCTCGTCCTCTGGGTCCATCGATTCTTTCGCCTTTGTCAGCGAGAAGCACGAGACAGAGAAAGAGAGACACACACTGAGCGACCAAATGTGTGCGACGACGGAGAGACGAAAGTGGTCGGCGAGCGGAGCGTGCAGGGGAGCTTATATGGGTATGGGGGGCACATGCCGACAAGGTGCTCGGGCAAAATCCAAGGAGAGAAACAGTAAGGCGGTGAAGGGAAGCTGCGCTCCATGTGACGGCAGGGGAGGGGGTTGGTGGTGGGGCTACGGTGGCGCGTGTTGCGTTTGCTTCGAATTGATTAGAGAGAGGGAGGGATAGAGGGGGCACCGACCTTGACCTGAACCTGGGGAGAGCTTCCAGGTAGTTACGCCCGTTAGGATTTTGTGTTATCTTTGTCTCTCTGTTCGTGTCCTGCGTGTCTTTTCTTGTGTGGTGTCGGAGCGAGGTGGGTGCAAGAGAACCAGTTGGTGCAAGAGAACCAGTTGGGGCCTAAAGAAGATATTTTTGTCCAGTTGGGTTTTTTCTTTACTATTATTTTTATCTCTCTTTTCCTTTTTTTTGGGATGGTGCTGAGATTGCGATTCATAGTGACAGGTGTTCCTCATATATTAGTTAAATCCAATTAAAAAATAAGAATTAATATCACGAAAAATCTCAAATTGATATACTTGTGATAAATTTACCCCAAACTAATTTTTTGACTATTAGAAACTCCAAACTGGTACACCCATGATAAATTTACTCTAAACTAATTTTTTGACCACCAAAAATCTCAAAACTGGTACATTTATGACAAATTTACCCTCCATTAAATTGGATTAATACCTACACCTGCTGTTAAAACTCCAAACTAGTACACCTATCAACTGTTACGTGTCATCCGACTAGAAAATTTGACTTTAAAATTTAATGGAAACTAGAATAGGGTAAAATTGTCACGGGTGCACCAGTTTGGGAGTTCTTTATGGTCAAAAAAATTAGTTTAGAGTAAATTTATCACAAATGTACCAGTTTGGAGTTTTTCGTGGTATTGACCATAAAAATAAATATATTTTTAATTAATTTTAGAATAAACTTATTACACATTTTCATAATACCATAAAAAAATCTCAAACTCTTTATCCATGCCGCATTTCTCTTGAACTAACTTTTCTATCATAAAAAAAAAACTCTAAACCGATACACGTATTTTTTGTCACAGAAATCCCAAATCAGTACGCTAGCACCACATTTACCCCCAAATTTATTTCAAGGTCATACAAAATCCCAAATCACCAAAATCTTAAATCGAGAAATATCAATTTTTCCCTAAGGGCTCTCTCGGGTTTGTTTGGTGCAATATGGTATGGATATTATCAGTTTGAGATTTTTTTGTAACACGAAAATTAATTCGAGAGGTACATGCGGAACAAAAATGATAATGTAAGATTTTTCGTGATATTATTTTTTTTATTAACGTCAGAAAATATCAATTCAAAGCGTGTTCACATTGCCTTATTATGATTAGTGAAAATTGCTTAGCGAGCAAGGCAGCGGACCGGCCAATGAGAGAGGAGGCAATTTCTAAGTTGGAAAAGTCTGATGGGAAAGCGGGTCAGACATTACTTGATTACCACTACTCAGCCAATCGGGGCGCGGTCTTGTACGCGGACTTGCGTCAGCAACAAACCGATATTTTCTTGTCACCCTATTAGGAGCAAAGTGACCACATTTCATTCTTTTTCTAATCTAATAAAAAGATCGGGAGAGAAAGGGTCGGCAACCCTCCCCTTCCGATCAGGAAAGGATTCAGGCTCCGTTCATTTCGCGAAAACTGAAATGATTTTGAAATTTTATTTTTTTAATGTGACAGCTCGTGTCGGTTAAAATAATTAATCAATTAAAAGAATTTTTAATATTGACGACAATTTTATATTTATACATTTTCGTGGGCAAGAAAAAAATGCTTGTCACCCTATTAGGAGCAAAGTTACCACATTTCATTCTTTTTCTAATCTAACAAAAAGATCGGGAGAGAAAGGGTCGGCAACCCTCCCCTTCCGATCAGGAAAGGATTCAGGCTCCGTTCATTTCGCGAAAGCTGAAATGATTTTGAAATTTTATTTTTTTAATGTGACAGCTCGTGTCGGTTGAAATAATTAATCAATTAAAAGAATTTTTAATATTGACGACAATTTTATATTTATACATTTTCGTGGGCAAGAAAAAAATTCTTGTCACCCTATTAGGAGCAAAGTTACCACATTTCATTCTTTACCTAATCTAACAAAAAGATCGGGAGAGAAAGGGCCGGCAACCCTCCCCTTCCGATCAGGAAAGGATTCAGGCTCCGTTCATTTCGCGAAAGCTGAAATGATTTTGAAATTTTATTTTTTTAATGTGACAGCTCGTGTTGGTTGAAATAATTAATCAATTAAAAGAATTTTTAATATTGACGACAATTTTATATTTATACATTTTCGTGGGCAAGAAAAAAATTCTTGTCACCCTATTAGGAGCAAAGTTACCACATTTCATTCTTTACCTAATCTAATAAAAAGATTGGGAGAGAAAGGGCCGGTAACCCTCTTCTTCCGATTAGGAAAGGATTCAAGCTCCGTTCATTTCACGAAAACTGAAATAATTTTGAAATTTTTGTTTCCTGAATGTGACAGCTCGTGTTGGTTGAAATAATTAATCAATTAAAAGAATTTTTCATATCGACGACAATTTTATATTTATACATTTTCGTGGGCAAGAAAAAAATATTTTTCAAATTATTAATTTTTCGCGAAACAAATGCACCATGAGTATTCAAAAGAATATCCGGGATGGTGAACCTCTTCAATGACTTCACGCAAGAAAATTCAATCATAATATATTATGGATTTTCATTGCTGGTTCGCGATATATTACTGTTTACTCTCTATAATTTCGGTTACAACGATTGCAATAGCCATTAACAATGGGGTCATGTAACACCTATTATGGCGATGGCATTACTTATTCTCAAAATACTCAGACTTTTTTCCTCTATCGATGTTAGATAATGTTGATTGTAGTTACGAAAAAAAACTAATACTCTAGTTAAGATTATTATGTTAGTTTACCACTGACATACTTCGTACAATATCATTAGTTAATCTTGGATAATTATCTAAATGTAAGTACATATAAAATATGATTGATTTTATAACAAACATGACGATGCGTAAATTGCCAATATATATGTTAAGAATCTAAACAATAAACTATAATATTTTCGTAATAGGTAAATCTATATCGTGTCAAGTTTTATCCGTAATTCCAAAATTAGCATGATTATCAATTAATTAATCGAATCTCGAACATGATCATCTAAATTTGGTTAATTAATCAGAATCTTCCTATTAATTAATAATCATCCTAATTATAATTTTTATTAGTATTGGTTATAAAAAATACAATCTCGAAAACTTTATATATAAACATTAGTTTTATGTATTATTTAAAGATATAATGACACCAATTCTATGTTTACTTACCCGAAAACCAATATCGCCTGTGTACTTTTTTTCCATTTAAGATTGTCCTTGTATTTTTCAAAATGGTGCATAGTTAGTCCTTTGGATACATACTTTTCCCTTTTTTGATTCTTAATTTCATTATAATATTTCAAGATTTATTTGATATTTCGAGAGCAATTTGTTAAATCAAGATATTGGTATGTTTAAAATTGTAAAAATTTTATACTATGCCTAATATACAGTATTTGTTATTTATTTTTTAAAGTCTACTTTAACTTGCGATGGAACATATTTATTTAAAAGGGTTAATACCACGAAAAACTCAAAACTGGTGCACATGTGACAAATTTACCATAAACTAATTTTTTAACCACAAAAAAACCTAAATTAGTACACTTGTGATAAATTTAGCTCAAACTAATTTTTTAACCACCAAAAACCCAAAACTGGTACATTTGTGACAAGTTTACTTTCCGTTAAATTTGATTAATACCACGAAAAATCATAAATTGGTAAATCTGTGACAAACAGAGAGATAAAACCTTAAACTAATATACCTGTCAACTGCCACGTGTCATCCAACTCAACAATTTGATGGTAAAATTTAATGGATCTAATAGAGGGTAAATTTGTCACATGTGTACCGGTTTGAGTTTTTTGTGGTATTATCCTATTTAAAAATTTAGTTTCAACACGTGTTCTTTCAATACAAGGTAAATCTAATTTGGAAAAATAGTTATGAGAGAGATCTTTTTTGAGAATTACTTTTCTGGAGAGATCCGTATTTGAAAAGGGGCTGCTCAACTTCAACGTACCCATCCATCATAGAAAGGGAAAGACGTCAATGGTGTAAAGATAAATCTTCGTAAAGCATGATTCCCTCATTGAATCACTAAGGCCGCGCATTTACAACGATTTCCGCGCTCGAAGCATTCTCGCTCGAAATGATTCTTTTTATTCTCGTGCCGGAATTGATTCCGAGCATTTTAAGGCGTTTGTTAACGGCCCAAAATTCCATCCCTGGAATAAAAAAAGAACAGAAATGCGTTTGGTAACGCCACAAAATTTCTTTTTATTAATAATATTTTTAAATATTTTAATATTTCTTTCTTTTTTTTTCTTTTCTTTTTTTCTTTTCCTCCTTCTTGGCCATAGCCTGCTCACCGGCCATGACCGGTAAAATATTTTTTTATTAATAATATTTTTATTAAAAGTATTTTTTCTTTTTTTTGGCCATGGCCTGGTCGCCGGCCATGACCGGTAAAATATTTTTTTTTATTAATAATATTTTTATTAAAAATATATATTTTTATTTTTTTTTGCCATGGCCTGTAAAATTTTTTTTTATTAATAATATTTTTTATTAAAAATATACATTTTTATTTTTTTGGGCCATGGCCTGGTCGCCGGCCATGGCCGGTAAAATATTTTTTTATTAATAATATTTTTATTTAAAAAAAAAATATATTTTTTTTGCCATGGCCTGGTCGCCGGCCATGGCTGGTAAAATATTTTTTTTATTAAAAATATATATATATTTTTTGGCCATGGCCTGATCGCCGGCCATGGCCTGTAAAATATTTTTTTTATTAAAAATATACATTTTTATTTTTTTTGGCCACGGCCTGGTCGCTGGCCATGGCCGGTAAATTTTTTTTTTATTAATAATATTTTTTATTAAAATATTTTTATTAAAAATATATATTTTTTCTTTTTTTGCCATGGCCTGGTTACCGGCCATGGCAGGTAAAATATTTTTTTTATTAATAATTTTTTTTATTAAAATATTTTTATTTAAATTTTTTTTCTTTTTTATGGCCATGGCCTGGTCGCCAGCCATGGCCGGTAAAATATTTTTTATTAATAATATTTTTTATTAAAATATTTTATTCTCGTCAGATCCAGCGAGGGCGGTCCTCGGGTCGGACATTAGAAGCTAAATTAAAAACCAAGAAAAGGAAGAAGAAAAAAAAATTGATTCTCAAAATTGTTTCCAAAATCAAGAAGCTACTTTTTTTTTATTCTTGATTCTGCTCCAAAACTGATTCTGGGAACAATTTTTGATAAAATTGTGCCCATAATCAAAAAATTAAACAAACGCATTTCTGTTCCCAAACTGATTCTGGGAACAAAAGAATAGAATCAAACACTGTTTGGCAAGTTGTCATGCGCAGCCTAAACGTGCATCTGCTTCACGGAAAAGAAAAAGATCCGGGAAATATTTTCCGAAAAATAATTGATCATATCGTTTAAAAAAAATTAGCCAACGTAAAGTACTTTCATCATATCTAACTATTTTTGCGGTTGATAAAAATAATAATTTTTTCCTGAAAAATGTTTTCCAAATTTTGAGTTTCGTCAAGCAAGGGCACCTTAATTTATAAATAATTATTTTATTCGAGAGGCGGCAATTTCAAAGTCCATTTCTCCCTCTTTCAATATGCCTATTTCCCGCTAAAGAAAAATATAACCAAAAAAAAAAAAAAAAATCGGGACGCCGTATTTAAAGCCCCGGATCCCATTTCGCGCCATTTCGTGCGCCCTCCCGCCCCGTCCGCGGAAAACCAAAAAAATCGCGAGGGAAAAAACTCTCCCTCTCTCCAGCGAGCCTCTCTCCTCGGAAGAGACGAAGAACGATCGGAAAAAATGGAGAGAGAAGATCACGGAGAGAAGCGCGTCCTCCCTCCCTCCTCCGGCGTCTCTCCGTCGCCTCCTTCGGGCGGCGCGCGAATTCCTCGTATCCGCCGGCGCGTCGATCCGGGCTTCCGGAGATCCCCGGTAAGCTTCCGAAATCCGCTATCCCCGCACGCTCGCGCTCTGACTGTTCGTCCGATCGTCGGGTCGAACCTCGGGCGATCCGGTCCGCGTCGAGATTCGGAGCTTAATGGCGAAACCGAGATTTGCATCCGATGCTCGGATTGTGCGGTTCGTTCGCTCTTCTTCCCATCTTCTTCCAGCTTGTTTCGCCTCGTCGTTCGGCTGATTTCCTGCCGTTCTGCAGTGTCCCGCGGCCATGGCTACATGTCGGATCGATCCATTATGCATAAGATCTGCCGGTACTCCTCTCGCTGTTCGATCTGTAGTAGAATCTGGCATTTTTCTCCAGCTCAATTGGTTGGATGAAGATAGTTCATCCAGATTGTTTAGAGGCCAGATGGACCATTCATCCGTATTGAGATAGTTCGGGCTGGCTTGGATTTTCTTAATCCGTCTTCGCGGGGCAGACATTGCGCCGCGTCTTAACGTTTTTCTTCGGTAACTTAAGTACATTGCCCGCATGTCGACAGCGAGATTCTATTCTGGTGCTGATGTTTTTCTCCTCCTCGCAGATCATTTGCATCTGCAATCGCTGGCTGTACCGGGTCTTCCTCGCCGTCTCATATTCTCGAGGGCATTCGACGAAAGGCACACGAGAAGATCTAGTTTTCTGATGGAGAGACAATCCTAGACTTCTAAGACATTTGGTATATCATGGGCCTAATGACTCCTAGTAGTTGTGCAATGCCAGTGGGGGTGAATGGTGAAGGCAAGGTCGCGTGCTCCAAGCTTTTGCAAAACTCGTGTGCTCTCCGTGACATCCTACTTTATGTCAGTGTAGGAAATGTAGGGTCACGAGTGTTAATTTGGTGTTTGTTTCGATCGCAGAGGTTTCCGAATGGATCAGGTCGTGGTGATCGTGGTTTTGTTCTTGAAGTACACAGCACAAGTGCATACGACAATGATGCAACATGGGCTTAATTTGCAAGCGCGCATCCTGGGCGAGGCTTTTGCTAGACGGAAATTGAAGGCGAAGAGGTAAGTGACGAATTTCTTACCACTTTCTTTTGCACCGCGTTTGAGCCATACTAGGCCTTTTCACCCCCACAAATTGTCCCCTTGCGTACCTGTTTGAAGGGTCTATGCTGCTATTTTTTTTTTTCTTTCGCCATCTTTGCGATAATGTGCGATGAGTAAAAGAGGGTTCATGTGAAGAGTATGAAGAGATGTGTGATTATGCAATACTTCCTAAATGGTCCTCACAACTCTTGAAAGTACTAGCTGCTAGCTTCTCTCTCGAGCTTTATGCTTCTGTACACTGTTGCTGAAATTCTATAGCTTAAACCGTCTCTCCGCTTTTGCATAAAGCCCTGTGAAAAATCTTTCCATAGTTCAAAGCTTCCAGAGTTGTATACTGACATGAAAGAATGGCTCAAACCCGAGCACGAGATGAGTAGCTACAACAACCTTGTTAATCCCTAAAATCTCTGCTTCGTGGAACTTCTGGCCATGGTCCATGCAGTTGCCTGGAATTTGCTATCCAAGGCATGGTTCCTCAAATGCTTCGCCTAACATGGTTATTGATCTGGTCTTGCCGGCACCCAACATAGTGTGCATTATTGACCATCATCCTTCTTACCTTTTGTCTTAGGTAACTTACTAGCCGGAAAGTGTAGCCTGGCCATCAATGGACGGGGTGCCCGTGTTTTCCTATCAAATCCCCTCACACAAACAAATCCTGCAAATTGCAACTTCCTTGTCAGCACAGTGAGTAATTGCTCCTTTAGCATTTTCTTCCAATGCACATGATAGCATGGGAGATGCTAATAGAACAAGATGTCTATACCTACTTAGTATTATGTCAGTATGCACTATTAGCCTTGGGATATATTACGAAGTAAAGAATCTCTGGTCTAGACAGCTACAACCCCTTAGGATACATTATTTTTTTTGGAGTGGAGGAACTTTGTTCTCCATTCAATTTGTTTGAGGACATGAGAGCTCATGTCATTCTTGATATATCCAGTTTTAAAGAGGTATTCATTGCCGGACATGCTTGACATTCCCGAGTTGATTCAGCTCATGTTATTCTCAACTTTTTCCACTTATAGAGGTGATCACTTTGTCAGCCCTACTACTGGATATTATCGTGACTCTGCATTGCATCATGTCTCAATGTTGACTTTCTTCTTGTATGTCCTTTATTGGCTACGTAAGAAACATTAAATAGATACTAAACCTATGTAGACCTAGATTCTCTGGAAGAGAGACACTTGGAAATAAAAGGAATTAGAAAGGTTTTGACAGACTGAATGTTTCACGAATCCTTCAGAAGGCTTCAGGAAGGCCTTGGTGAAGATACTGCTAATCTCAAATGGGCCAGTTGATCGTGTATATGACTCCATTTCACAGGCAATGCATGATTTGAAAGGATGAGAACTCGAGTTGTCACATGTACTAACTGTTATATAGACAATGATGACATTTTTTTCTTAGGAGTTGCCATGAGTTGTTTATTGGATGTCTTAAAGCATCTAAAATATTGAAGCTGGGAATAAGTTCCAAGGCAGCTTACTAAGTGAAGGTATCCTATAATGGAGGCACAAGTAGATATGAGTGCAAAAATGGAGATGTAGGGTGAGTGGGGAATTGGAAGTTTAGGCTCCGTTCGTTTGGCGGAAAATATTCTCCTTTTGGAAAATATTTTTCCGGAAGTCATTTTCCTGGAAAATGTTTTCCCGGAACATAATTTTCCAGGTGTTCGGCGATCAATATGAAAAAGTTTCGGAAAATATTTTTCGCCGCGGACCCGGCGGCGATCGCAGCGGCGGCGACCGCGGCGGCGGCCGGCGGTGGCGGCGGTGGGGACCGGGCGGCGGCGGCAGACGGCGGCGGCCAACGTCCGGCGTTCGGCGGCGGCGGCGCGGCCGGCGCACCGACGGCCAACGTCCGGCGTCCGGCGGCGGCGGGGCGATATGAAAAAGTTTCGGAAAATATTTTTCGCGGCCGGCAGAAGGGCGGCGGCTCCGGCGCGGCGGCAACCACACGCAGGGACCGGCGGCGGCGGCGGCGGCAGCAGCAGCAGGGCGGCGGCGCAGGCAGCGGCGGGCAGCAGGCAGCGGCGGCGGCGGATGGCGAGGGCGGAGCAGGAGGCGCAGCGGCGCGGCCGGCTACCGGAGGCGGCGAGCGGCGGCGGTTGGCGACCGACGGCTTAACGTCCGACGGCGGCGGCGGCGGGCGGCCGGCGACCGACGGCCAACGTCCGACGTCCGGCGGCGGTGCCAGCCGACCGGCGCGGCGGCGGCTTCGGCGGCGACCGGTGGCGGCGGTGGAGGCCGGCGACCCGCGGCGACGGCCGGCGACCTTAGTGAAGAAGAAGAAGAAGAAGCTCCGGAAAATGATTTCCGCTTTTGAAGAAGCGGAAGTCATTTTCCGTAGACTTAGGCTATTTTGTGAGGGGGGGAAGGAAAATATTTTCCCACGGAAAACGTTTTCCGCCCCCCGAACACCGGAAAACCCGAAAAATATTTTCCGGGAGAATATTTTCCGCCAAACGAACGGAGCCTTAGTGGATGGCAGTCCTAACCCTAATTAGGATCAGGTCTTCCAATCACTCGAAGTCATAATTTACGGTGTGGATGTAGACTCATCTATGATAATGATCGAATAATTCTTTTAATTAGAGACTATAGAGATGATGATGCATATTGTCGCCTTTCACCTATTATAGTAGAAATAGAAAATATTATGAGCTAGCCGTCGGAAACCATAGCTAGTTATGCTTTGGCTTCATTAGTCAGAGGCTATTCAGAGTCTTGTGGGTCCTGCTGCTAATTGCCGTACGTAAAAATGACTTCTTTTGTCTACTGATTTCAGATGCCTTTTAAATTGAAGTAAAAATAGGCATACGTTTTTCTTGCTAGTTTGAGAGTTCTGCATATTCATTAAAAATCTGAGAAAACAGTTAATCGTGAAGAAAAGGAAAAAAGTTTAAATTTAATTTTTAGCGCAATAATTGTTAAAAAGAGAAGTGGTCGTTTACATACCTCTCCAGAAGCATTGTTGAATGCCTTCTGTTGACAAACCTATAACACAAAAATTAGCTTTTAGAAGCCATTAAGACATCGTGGTACTCAGCAATTGTTTTTCATTCTTTACCCTTGAATATTGTTGGTATAGAAGTTCCAAAGTACACAGTCCTCCTTTGAAGTTTCCACAACAAACTCCTAGGAACATCTATAGGATTTATACTCGTCTCATGGTCAGCAAATACCTGCATTATAGCAGTCACTGTTAGCATGATCTTAAGGGAGGGTATTCAAACTTGTAGACAATCAGAGCATAATCAACCTCGTTAACTTGAAAATATGTGCCATTTAGCGGAAAACTCCCCCTCATTGCTGTACGGCATGGAATCTGCTTAATCATGTGTACTCCAATCAGATGGATTTTATTACTTGAGATACTGCTATGTACAGGATAGATATTGAGATTATGGATATTCTAACCAGAAATGTCCCACGAACAGTCTGCGAATTTGCTTCTCTTATACTGTTACACGAGACACAAGTTATTTCGTTGCAAAGTGTGCCAAATTCTTGGGAATTGCACCTATGCTCAGGTGGTTGAACAGAAGAAGCCGTTTCACCTGATTATGAAACCATTTCAAACACCCATAGAAATACACTGGAGTCAACTTGGCCCAAAATTTTCCATTTTCATTGTTGATATCACTGCAAACAGCCACCAATGTCATGAACTTGCACTCTTTAAGCTTGTTTATGTTCTTTACTCACCTGGTGTCCATATTGCGAGGAGGTATTTGGACGGATCATCCGCTTCTAGCTTGTCCAGCTGCATATGGGAAAATGGCATTAACACAAAGTGAATGTACATTGTCATAGTTCCAAGAAGATGCAATGTTAACTGACCCCATTCATAAGAGGGTGTCCCTCTGGTATTTCATACCTGCAAGATAGTAAACAAAAACTATAAGATTGCGCAGAACCATTCGACTCCTATGCACATTTTACTAGATGTAATGATAAATTGAGACATTTCTTTCATTTGATTCTAAGGCTATCCTCATCAAACTCTTGGTTTCTCTTATTGTTCGGTGTCCTTGGCTGGTCTAGGTCTCATGAAATAGAATATCTGACAATTATTTGAAATAATTTGAATTAAATTGGAAGGATTATAGGGCAGAAATAGAAAATGCAAGTATTCATTGTCTGCTAAAATGTCTCGCCACCTGGAAAAGTATTATGAAATTCAAAGAATGAGAATCATACGTGAGTAACTTGAGTGGTCAAGAAGGTTGGACTTACACTAGGTGCTCCGTCCGTAGCCGGCTCACATTTTTAAGTTTAGGCACAGGAATGGAGGCAGCTTCGGGGGTTAAAGCAACTAAAGCTTTTGACATGTCATCTTCTTGAAGGTCCATGTTGTGCTGCATGTACTTCTGTAAATTCTGAGTGAACTCTTCCATGTTAAGTTTGATTGTAGGAATTTCGTTGAAATCATCTGAAAACATATCCTCCATGTCATTTTCTGCTATCTGAGTGCAGTCTGGTTCTGGGGTTGCAGGTTCCTCTATAATAGGTTGACAGTTACTTGCTCCAGGTCTTGCTTCTAGTTGCTGTTCTTCTAAGTTCTCCTTCGCCAGTGGTAAAGACAGAGGCAATGTCTCGCCAATGTTTTGGCTGGCTATGTTTCTTACCATTGCATTCACTATGCTCTTTTCCTCTGGCCCGGGTAGAGCAAGCCTTGCACTGCACAAGATATGAGTGCTGAATATATGGAAAAACATGTGCTCTTGTCTGGTAGTATTTGCGGTACTTTGATAATGATATTCACACTACCTATTGCTATTGAAGTATCGCTATCACAATGAAAGGAAAACGATAATTGGTCGTCATCTAATTAGAATTGGATGTGGAAAGTTCAAGTTCCATTTTCTAGATCTGGTATCTTCCTTACAGACGAACTAAGCAGGTACATATATTGCTGGTACTGTTTGCCTAGGCGATACTCTTCAGCTTTAATTTTTATGCATAAAAAACTCAGTTGTTTTGGAAGTAGTGGTCCTGTTTGTGTGGAACTTCAATGTGGTTGTGTTCACTCAGGACAGGAACATAATTGTTGGAGAGGTCGATACCTCGCAAAAGCACTTGCAAAGTGTCTGCATTCTCCTCTCATAGGGCAGGCATTGCAATTTGGTTTGCTTTTTGTGCAGAAGACCTGCATTAAATTCACATCTGCTGATCACTCTCAACTGCCGCGAGTACTGTAAGTGAATACTTTATCTGTAGTGACCAAAAAGGGGGGAAAAAAACCTCTGGAACTGAATAATATCATACCTTTCCAAATGTTATCATCTGGTAATGCAGCTCATACCTGCATGCAAAGATTTTGTTACTTAACTGATTGTCGAAAATTCAATCTAGAGTAGGTACTGTGCACCAAATTAGAAAATAGCATCCTTACAAAGTTCTCTGATCGAGCTTGCACAATCTTGGCCATAGATATTGTTGAATAGATTCTAAGACAGGATAGCTGTACAAACCCAAAGATTAGTACGTTCACTGCAGGTTTGTTGAATCAGTTAATAAGTGGCTGGATGATACTTACAGTTCCAAAAGATGCAATTGAAGTGACTCGGGCAATGGTTGAAGTGGTACCCATCCAAGCCTTACAGCTATACGTCCAACATTTGTGTCTACCTGTTCACAATGGCAGCTAGCTGACATTATCTGTCAAAACAGTGACGATGTATCTGGTTATGCCTTCAACTTACTGGAAAAGCAAGGTGGTGGAGCGTTAAAAGCCGCACACACTCGACGCTCTTCAACCCCAAGCCTCTCATGCTCAGCAGATATTCTCTACAAAATCCAGCCTGACGTGAGGATTGAGGACAGTTTCATCTATATACTGACTGGAGAACTGACAATGCCTTATCTCAGAATACTCTATAATAGCAATTATTGGGCAACACACATGAAACTCACTTTTGAGAGGAAAAATATCAGCATTTGACTTCGATAGAAAGACACTTGTCAACGAATGCATTTTTCCATAATGTGCAAATGAAATCAGAAGTGTTTTAGACCATACTTTGCTTTGTCGGGTGGAACATCCCTGAGCCATTCTAGATCAATGCTTCCGTGTTCTCTTGCAAGCCGATTGAGGAAATCCTGCACATTGCCAGGCTCATGATATTATATTAAGCCTCCATGTAACTAATGGTAATTTCACTAATGGGTTGTGCAGTACCTTGATTCTTCCTGCAAGTACGTTATTCATTCCTCGCTCCTTGATGGCATCAGCAATTTCATTGACATCTGCACATCTGACAGCTTCCCAGTCCACAGAGTCCATTGTGTTTGGCGTTCTTACTCTTTTCCTTCCATTGGATTCTGCCTGTCTTCTTAAGCTATCCCAGTCAAAATCTTCTTTTTTCTCCTTACCAGCACCTCGACTCTTTCCTTTTGAATTTGTTTTATTAGTCTTGTTTGACTTGTCAGTTAGTGAAAGACCATGCTTAGAAGGGTGTGTATCTGCAGATTCATGATCAGCGCATTTTGAAATGTCCCTTGTGCCAGTGCTTTCTTTTTCCCCTGAAAATTCTGAGAAGTACACATCTGTCTGTATTTTACTGGTTTCCCCTTGACACGCTGCTTCGGGTACTATCTCACGGTCCATAGCAGGCCTGTTTTCAGAGATTTCACCTCCTAGACAGCTGTTGCATGGTTGATTATTCTTAATTGAATGCTCACGCGTTTCTTCACAAATCTCTGTCATCTTACTGTCTGTTATAGCGAAACTTATTGCTGCTTCATCCCTGATAATTTGCTCATTCTCATTCTTGAAACTCCCACCAGAGTTGGTTTCTTGTATGAAATTTTTTGGGCATTCAACTTCTGAAAATGCCAGACAGCTGGTGAAACCTGAGGTAGATATTCTACATGAAGTGTCTGCTTGCAGCGTTTCCTCACCATCCTCCTTCTCACTGGATTTGTTTATTACGTTCTCCATATTCTCGTTTACTGACGCATCTTCAATTTCACGAACAGAAACCTCTGGTGGAACATTTGAGCCAGCCATATCCAATAGCTGCATAAATGACTGTAAACCATCCAAGCTGTCAGTTTTGGAAAAAGTATTTATCAAAACATCTGAACTAGATCCTGTCCTTTCAGCAGCCTGAGCTGGCGGTGAGTCCACAGAACTTTGAGATGATATTACCGAATTTGGAGATGAACTTTCTGCTTTCCCATCTCCTTTGATATGACCCTCATCTATTTGGGTTATTGCAGCAGTTGAAGTATCTTCAATGAAAGGAGATAACTTCTCTGAAACACTTGTACTTGAATTTGACATCTGGCATTTTGGCTCATCTGCTAAGCTAATGCAACAAGCTTTAACTCCGACAGAATTATTGCTGTTGACAACCTCTTTTATTTCATTCTTCTCATATTCATTGTCAGTGATCGAGCTCTGGCCACACGCTGTTTCATTGGGACCTTTTTCACTCGAGGGGTACTCCATCTCCAAGATGTCTGTGTCTGGTTCATCGATAATTATTGCAATTCCTTCATCAGAGCACATTTCGGGGATTCGTTTTTGGGGAAAACGAGATGCCAGTGACATGAATGCCGAACTGCAAAAGCAAGATAATGGGAAGAGAGAATCCTTTTCAGTGAAAGGTAGGAAGATCTCTAGTATATTGTATCAGAAATGCCAATTTACCTAGACAGATGGTCTGATACATTTTGAGTTAGAAAAACTCCCACAACTGAATCAACCACTGATCCTTTCCATGGAGAAAAACGTCTATCACCTGCAGAAATGCATCATGGTTATCTTCTTTAAGCAGTTGGTGAAGTCGATAAGTAATGGCTGAGACATGTCACATAAGTGCGGTGAAGTTCTTGAATGACATGTTTTGGTATCAGCACTTTGAATTTTGTATGGCCTTAGTGAATAATTGTTAAAATTGCTTTAAGGGGAACCTTTTAACCATGGGTATTGCTGCACCGCTTCTATTCCTTGACAGGTAACTGTGATTTCTACAGTCAGCACTCGTGCTTTAACAGCTTTATAAAAGGTTTTGTGATTTCTCTGATAACCTCTCAAATTATCCCACTTAGTCATTAAGCAAAGGGTTTGGTAAGGTATTGTTATCAGTTAATCTGAAAGGTCATTGGAGATATTTCTTGGCGCTTTTGAAGTTTAGCAAGTCATAGACCTTGTACATGTTAATGACATGGCTTAGGTCTACACGCAATGAGGGGATCCAGGAGGATTAAGTTCTCTTTGTGCTCTAACGTGAATAGTGCTCTCTGTCTCTCTCTGAAAAGGCAGTCGGGGAAATAGATTAGTTGGGCTGTGATGAGGAACAACTTAATCAGCTATCTTAATTTGGTAGTACCGTAGACTAGATCATAATCCACCCAACGGGCAAATTGATTTTGGGAGTCGCATGGAGCCTTGGAATATAGATGACATACCTTGAACAAGATGCATACGTGCAATAAATGAGTCTGCACGCCCTCGGAAGACTCTCCGTTCTTCCTCCCACCATCTTGCCTTCTCTTCATCTGTTCCATCAATACCTTCACTATTTATATTTTCCAAAAGAAGCTTCCACACTCGGCTGGTTTCTTCATCAAGGTCAACTTTTGGTCGTGGGCGTCGTTTCTTCGGTGGACCAAATGAATTGTCGAAAGGCACGACAGTTCCGCCCCTCTTATAGAGAACAAGTGCATTGTGCTCATGATTCGTCATTTCATAAGATGCTAATGCATTTTGAATTCCATCGGTCTCTCTGTTGATATCTAGGTTCTCAAATTGTTTGATGATCGCATCTAAAGAGGTCATCTGTCTCCACAATAACTCTGTTTGAGCCCCTGCAATAAAACAAGAATTCAATTAGTCTATAGATTAGGTTCTCTCAAACATGATTGGACCAACCAACCCAAAGGACCGGTCACTTTTTGCTTAGGTACCTGATGATCTGTTTAAAGTGCTTTGGTTATTGTGCATGACAAGTGGTCCATGCAGCTGCAATGCACCACCATAGGCCGAAGTAACCAGAGAAAGTCTCTTCTTAGTCCGTTTCTTTCTTGACAGTGTCGATTGTATCTCCTCAAGCAGGGCTTCTATGCAAGAGTGCGGTTTCTGTGAGAAGCCATATTCTGCTTGTCTGTGGGAATCATCTGGTAGGAGTCTGATTAATGAGGCAAAATCTCGTACCCGAGTTGGAGCCCTGGATCTCTTTTTGGTCGTCTTGTTTCTTTGATTAAATTCCAGGAGACATCCGACAGTGTGGTGCCTATTGTCGAGTTCTGCTCCAAACTCTCGAGTTGTAGCTGGATAGAAGGAATTAGGTTGGGGTGGACTGTTCCAGTCAGTAACTTTAGCTGCAGAAGCGTGGGTTGTCCCCGTATTTTGCTGCACCTTCTCTGTTCTCTTCCTCTTATGTATGACTGGAAAGTGGACCCAAGACGTTGTCATGTATGCTTGTAAGCTATTGTATTGGGCTCCGAGAAAATTTGTGCTGCCGAACTTTGCAAGTTCACAAGTATCTAATTTTTGCTTACATTGTGCTTCGTATTCCTCGACCAACAAAGTCGTGCTCTTGCTGCCGTAGGGAGCCTCCTGACCTTTTCCCCATGCTTCAGGATTGGCTCTCGGGATAACTTGTGCAATGGTTTCACATCCATTGTTAGTGTTCAATTGGCCTTTTTTGTCAAGGATCTTCCTTGTATAACCAGCATCCGAGCGTTCTGGATTATGGTTATTTTGGACAAAACTCATCTCTCCCATGATGCCCTGTTCTGGTGTCGAAATGTAGCATTTCTTCGTTGGGTCTGTGCTGCAGTCAAGTTCGCTTTTGTTTCTGTTTTCCAGAAAGACCTCAAATTCTTGGGCAAGCTGCTCGGCTAGGTTCGGCTGAACTCTCCTAGTTTGTTGGAAATCCTGTGCTGGTGAATCTGAAATGGACGCTGATGCATGAAGTGTCTTTTCCATCGGCTGTTCTTCGTTGTCAAAGTTCAAGGCCCTCCTGCAGGATTTTTTGGGCGGTTGGCGTACTTTTAGATCAATGGAGGAGTCCTCAGCCCCTTCCGTGGGTAAAGCTTGTGGTTTCTCAACTCCTTTTCTCCTCACATATTTTCTCTTAACCCTGGTCTTCCCCCCATCAGCGGGCTTTGGAGCTGTTGACCTCGGAGCCCTTTTCGGCTTTCCCTCTTTCACCACCTTCGGCCTGTGTTTTTTCCTTCTCGTCTTCTGTTGCGGAGTTTTGTTCAAGCCTATCATCTGGGCGTCTCCCTTCTCAGGGTCGTGATTCTCCATCAATGTGGAAACAACATTAGACGGTGACCCCATTCCAGACTCTTTGAGCTCTTTATCTTGTTGACTGATCTCGGGTGCGAAAGTCTTGGTGGCATCTCTGTCCACCTCCATGATGTTACGCTCAAGCCTCCGCCTTTCATATGTGCATATGTTGGGCACTTGAGAAGCAATTTTCTTCTCTGCTCCAACAGCCTTTTCTGGGGTAATTGGCGCGAAATGAAGAATGCCTTTCGACATTGCATCTTCGGCCATCGAGGGTGGCAAGTTCAGGTCATATGCGCGTAGCTGAGCATTCGCAAGCTTGTCTGCACGACACGCCGTTGCATTAGTTTCAGATTGAGCAGCCAATGCAGATGATGCAATCAGACTAATATTCAAGCGCATGTAGTCAAATCTTGGTTTAGGTTCTGAAAATGCGAGCAGTAAAGAATTAGATTGTAGTTGTGATATGTCTTCAGTACTGCACGACTCATATTTTCGCGTTCTATTATTCATCGCCGTGCTAACTACTTATCTCTACTTTCTCAAATCCGACATCCTTGTACTCGGTCAAGAAGAACCACTCACTCAACAGTTTCTTTGCATCAGCTCTTGTCACTCATATTTTAGCTTGAAAGTGTTTTTCACTGTACCATGAACTGGTGCAACAAGAATAAATTGGACGTTAAGAAGTATGGCGTGGTTATAGGTGTATCAGAAAGGACCCAAAAGTTAAGCATGGCTCAGTTATAGCATTTTAGTGGGATTAGCCATAGGATGACGTGATATTAAGGTAATTGTTAAACAACGGAAAAGTTAAATTTCAATTAATTATTATATACTTTTTTAATTGATAATGGCTTTGAGTCTGGGGGACCCTGTCTTGGTGGGCCCTCATGATATTTAATATCGAATACCTAAAAATTATGTAAAATTCTAAAAAGTTTCGCGTTATCGAATATTTGACCATGACTCACTTGGTCAAGTGATGACGTGGTGTTGACCGATCAAGTCAAATTTCGATTGATCATAAAAAAATATATATATAAAAAAAAATCTCGACGGGCTAAGGATCCACGTGCACTAATGCATGTGGATCCGGGCGCCGACGTGGATCCACATGATTCGACGGGCTTTCTCGGTTACACTGAAATATATATGAAGTTATGACGACGTGTCATGTCGTGTCAGTTTAAGGTAGTTAGAAAAAGATGCGGACGCAAGTCCCAAAGAAGATCAGTCCGAACTCACCCGGATAACTTGGCCAGTGATTTCCATCGACCCATGGACGGTGCGGAGGATCGGGCTCGGCGACCCTGCGGTCCGCCGGGCTCGGAGACGGCCACCGACCGTCTCTGTGCGGATCGGAGAAGGAGATGAAAGAACTCTTCGGGTGTTCATCCGGCGGCCCTCCCATGGCCGCAGCGTCTACCAGAGCCAACAGGCCCCGGAAGTGACCGCTCTCCACCCCGACACCAGCCGAGACCGAAAGATTCGGCCACATCCTGGCGGTCTCGTCCTGGCCGAAGAAGCCGGCGGCCGCCAGATCCTCGAGGCCTCCCTTCATCATCTCCGCGCCGCCGCCGCGACCCGGATTGCCGGACGGAGCGACCCCGTCAGCCCGCCAAATCGGGGCGAACCCGGGTGGGAATTCGTCCGATTCCGACGAGTCCCCGCCGTTCGCCTCGGTTCCTCGCGCCTCCGAGCAGATTGGCCCCGGCCGGGGCAAAATGGGCTTCCCCGGGGTCGCCGGGATCCACGAGCTCTGAGCTCGGACCTCCTTGTCGCCGCCGCCGCCCGCGTCTTCCATGCCGTCTCAAAATTTCTGCAGTCAAATTCAGCTTCTCGGGAACAGAGCAACTAAGCTGCAGAATTCACAGAGGCCCATGAAGGGGGTAAGGAGCAAGATCACGAACCGAGCAAAAGGGGAGCTGATCTGCTTCTCACGGTCAAAGGGTTAGCAGCTCCAGAACCAACCTCCTCGAGATCAAAAAGAGCCCCCTGAAGAAAAATCTCAAGAGGAAACGAAATGGGACGTCAACGATTCCGGCGAAGAACAACGCCGCCGGGAGCAGCAACCGGCGAAGAAGGGAGGGGGGCGAGAGAGCGCCATGGGAGCTGAGATTTTTGCAGCTTGAAGAAGAAGAAGAAGAAGAAGCCTCCCCCCTCTCTCTCTCTGTCTCTGTCTCTCTGTCTCTCTCTCTCTCTCTAATTTCGAGTAGGTGAGGAGAAACAGAAAAATCCCCCACGTATTTCTCCAACCCCCCGCTCCTCAGAAAATGCCACTTTATCCTCTACTGTTGCTACATTTTACTCGTGACCCCCCTCCCATACCCCCCCCCCAAAAAAAAAAACAAAGAATTACCCCCCCAAAAAAAAAACGAAAATTTCTTTCTTTTTTGTGGGAAAAAGAAGAGGGGAAAAAATCACGACTTACTGGGAAAAGACTCAGTAAATGCAGGAGATCGGGAGCGCTCGGAGTGGAAGAGAAGCGAAGCGTCCCTCGCACGACCAACAAGAAGGAGGCGGCAGCAGCAGCAGCAGCGGAAGCGGAAGCAGGAGGAGGAGAAGAAACCGAACCCAGGAAAGAAAAGAAGCTGTTATTTTATTAGGTGGGGCTCTTTAAAGCGATAACTCCCCTTCCTTCCTTCCTTCTTTTTCCCCCCCGTCCAACCAAAAAAGTATAAAAATAAAAAAAATAAAATAAAGGGGGGGTTAAGGAAGGAACTCGCGTTAATCAGTATTTACGCAATTGGGATTAAATAATTTCGCGGTAATTAGCGGGTGTAATTATGGAATTAGATTAGGGAGATGGGGGGCTTGGCCCCCCGTGAGGGGAGAGGGGTGGCTCGCGTCCCTCGCGTCTCCCCGCTGCTTCGACCACGTTGGCCTCCCGAGCTCAACACTTGTCCTCTCCCGCCTGACACTTGTCCCTCCCTCCCCTCCTCCCTCCCCCTCCGTTATTAATTGCTCCCGTTCGCCCACGACCGGTCAACCCGCCCTCCCCTCCCTTGGGGGCCTGACCTTTTTGATGCCGGATTAGTGAAATTGTTGCTTGCCCGCTTTTGCGGCGGAGCGCTGTTTTTTTTTTGTGTGATTTGGGATGGACTCTGATGAAAAGTTCACCCGAGAGACACGTCGGATGGAATGATAAGCGTGTTTGTTTTTCTCGATTGAAAATTAGGTTGAATAATGACCGATGGTCGAATCGATGAACGACGACGACGGCGGAGGAGGAGGAGGAGGACGATTTTGCTTAAATTAATTAAATAAGGGTAGTAGGAGAAGACCGTCCACAAGATGAATATTCCCCCTTTTGGCCAATTTACCGCGGGAGAGAGTGAGGTTGCGTTCATGATCTTGTAATTTGAAGCATATAGCGAAGATTGACCGGGCTAGTCCATGTCAGTTTGGTCATTAATATGTTGAGATGCATGTGTAAGTTATGTTAGAAAAAGTTCAACATTGGACAATTGATGTGGTATGGTGCAGTTAATATATTTAAGTTGGCAATATGTTGATGTAGATTAGTGAGATACGCGTGTGGGGATTGTTAAAAAAAAGTTTTATATCGGAAAATTGATGTAGTATGCAGCAGTTAATATATCATGGTTGGCCCATGAATTTGTTACTATACTTGGGAGGAGACTTGGGGTTTTTTGAAATGCAAGTAGTGTTTAGTAAATTATAATTTAAATATGCATTGAAAAACAACTTTAGTTTAAATGGTGTTTGAATCATACTTTGTAAAACACTTTTGCTTTTTTTTATTTTAAAAAAAAAAACCTCAAAACCGACGAAGGACTTAGCTGCCAACAGGTGATCGGCGAAACTTTGGCGATGCCAAATCTAGCTGTTAGCTTCGCCTGAGGCCATTCGACCTCAGGCGACTGTCACATGGGTTGCGCGATCCCAAGTGGGAGGCATGAGGTTTGGCGACCTCAGACGAGGCTCCTAGCGCCATATCTGGCTCAACGATAGCCAAATTTGGCCTCGTCGGCGATGTCACGTGAGGTAGGGATAGTTCTAAATTTATAAAATTTAGCAAAGGGCAAAGTTGAAAAAAATGTATTTGCATCTCGTAAATGCTTAAAGCTCAAAGCAGCATCGGACTTACCTTAAGCTTAAGGCCTTTGGTGATGCAATTGCATTTTTCCAAAGCTCTCCAAAAAATTCGCAAACGCCGTTTACATTTGCCCATATGACTTTGGCAATGTGTTGCCAACGCTACCTTGTTCCTGAGGTAGGGGGAGAGGGAACGGAAAAGAGAGAAGGGCAAAAATGGAAAGAGAAAAAGTTCAAATAATATAAGGGGGGAAAAAGAAAAAAAGGAAGACAAGTTTGGAACGTCTAATATCACATGTAATGAGGTGCCAGCCTCTCAATGGGATAATTTCAAAATATTAACTTACCCCCTAATTTTGTCAAATCCCAATCCTCATTATAGAAAGATATAAACCGAAATTAGGGGTGATTGGTTTTAGAGTGGGCCGATTCTTATCTTGGAATCGGATCGGACGGTTCTCAGGTGTGTTTCGGAACCAGTGTTCAATAACTACACAAAAAGGGGATCTAAACTAATTACTAGAATCAAAAGTGATGGCCGAAGGAACAAATGAGATCCATAGTTCCCTTACCCCGAAGGCAAGGCCGCAACTGCAAGGGTGGGCTTGAACCGAGGTTGCGAGCAATATCAAGGGAGGACCAGAGATCATGGAGATCGAGAGTCGCGATTGCAATGCTGTGATGGAGGGTTGGTGGCGAGACTGCAACTGGCGAGGCAGCGGGTGATTGTGATGAGGCGACCGAGAGAGAGCAGAGAACGAGAGGAAGGGAATCGTGAGTGCAAGAGAAGAGGAGGCTAGGGTTTTTTGGTTTCTTAGTCACTTCATGAGGTTACTCTTTTGGTTTGGAAAGAAGAGCAGAAAAAATAGGGTATATCAGTTCGTTCCGGGAGGGTGGATTCACACCTGGAATCGAGAACCGGACCGATATTCACCGGTTTGATTCCTGGTTCGAGCGGCTCCTTTTTCTCACCCCTAATCAAAATAATTTGATTGTTTGAAAGAAACGGCTTTGACGGGGCTCATGTTTTGTTAGAAGAGGTCTAACAGCTCATGCTTACATTAAACAAAAAGGGATAATTTTACAAAAAGAAAAATTCTAATATTTTCTTGTGGGATACCGATACTCCAAATTTTTTTTTGTGTCACTAATACCCTAAACTTATACCAGTGACTCAAAAATACCTTCCATTAAACTTCAGTCCTCAATGGCTGCTAAAAATCCGGCATGGTAGCATTCATGGACAACGTTAGGCAAACAGATCCGATGTGATAATGGATGCACGCTGCTAAGTCCACCAAGAGCTTTTCCACGTTGAGTTTTCAACGGCCGTGCATGCTGTCTTGTCGAATTTTTAATGGCCATACAAATGGAATGCACTTTTGGGTTATTTAGGGTACGTTTGGTAATTATTTTATTTTCAAAAACAATTTTTGTTCAGAAATAATTTTTTTATTCTGTTCTCGAAAATAATTTCTAAGCATTTGAAGGCGTTTGATAACGGCTCAAAATTTCCATTCCTGGAATAAAAAAAGAACAGAAATGCGTTTGGTAACTACACAAAATTTCTTTTTATTAATAATATTTTAATATTTCTTTTTTTTTCTTCTTCTCCTTCTTGGCCATGGTTAGCGACCGACCACAGGCCAGGATCGGTGAGGGCGAGGGCCGCCCTCGTCTAGACCGCGAGGGTCCAGCCCTCGCCCTCGTTGACCCTGGCCTATGACCGGCCACCGGCCAGGAAAGAAGAAGAGCAGGAAAGAAAAAAAAATCTCTTCTATTTCTGATTCTTGTTCCCAGAATCAAGAATCAACCTTTTTTTTATATTATTGATTCTGTTCCAAAACTGATTCTGGAAATAAATTTGTGACCGAAAACAAAAAATTTACCAAACGGATTTTTATTCTTTTTTTGTTTCCGAGAACGAAAGAATATAATCGGTCACTATTTAACGAGTTACAAAATACACCCTTATATATATTTGGGGTACTGGTGAAACGAACAGTAATTTGGGGTATAATGATTCTTGATGGGAATTTCCAAAATAAAAAAAAATTGCTTGGGCAAAGGCGAGTCAACAGTGCCCACGACCCATCAATAGGGTTTCATGCCTCACATAAAACTTGTATTCATTCGCTCCATCAGTTATATACTCGCGGCATGACTGCTTCATGCTATCTCTGAATCTGCTTCTTGAGCAGTTGCTGAAAAGACCCTTTCTAAGAAAAAGCATAAATAATATAAAAATTGAAAATAAATTTCTATTATCTGGCTTACCAATTCAAGAACGGACTTCCTACGTGAATTAGTCGCACAACATAAATTTAGTTGCCTAAACCACTAGGTGTAGACAATTTCATGCTTAGATTAACTCCTCGGATTTTGACTCGCGTCTTCCACGTTAACGAAAGATTTAGTAAGTTCAAGACTTATCTCATCTTAACCGAGCTTCCTCTTCGTAAGAAAACGACCACAAATAATCCTTTTAATTTTGTCATGTAGAGATGATTATGTACCTTCGCAAAGCTACGGTTGCTCCTACTTTGCCAGGTTGTTCTATTAGAACTACACCAGTACACGAGCAATTCACGACCGGAACAACGCATCTATGGCATGTTGTGCGAACCAAATCGAGAATGGTTTCTCTAATCGGCTATCAAAATTTCAAATCCTACTCTGTCGCGACCAAGGGCGCATGTCCAAGGGATCTGCGCTGGCGTCGGCCATCGCCTTTTCTCCTGATCGTTAGGTGATCTGTTGCGATCTATTTAGGTCTGGCCAGATCGTTAACTCGTACTTCTCCTCTACTTAAAAACGCTCAGCACTCGACGTTGCATCCGATGCATGATGATATTGTTTGAGCTAAACCCAAAATGCGAAGGCACGTGATGCGATGCGAACGAGTCTCACGCACGCATTGTAACGCTATCTCGCCGTGACCGGATTTTAAGGAAACCGCTTTGCACCCGAGAGACTTCACCGTCACCCCCTTCGCATTTCCCCATTTCTATTCTTATTATATTCGTGTTGCTTTTCCTTGGTTAATCGGCTGAATTGTCCGTACTGATTTGTCGGTCGCTTCAGGCTCGTGACTCTCGAGCTCGAAGGGGGAATCTTCTTTGTCTTTGCCTCTTTTCTGGCCC